ATGATTTATATAGACATAATTTTTTTTGTCTGTATAAATCATTTGTGATTAGATACATATAATCACATATGATTATATTTATTTAATCACATATGATTATAGTGGACAAAGAACAATTATTGAATTGAGAATGTGACAATGAATCTCATCCATATAAATCATATATGATTTGATACATACAATCACATGTGATTATATGTATTTAATCAGATATGATTTATGCATACAATATTTATTTTTTGGTTTCGACAGAATAATTGCTTTTGTGTAATTAATCACATTTGATTATATGTATATAATCATATATGATTTGAGGCGGACAAGATGCATTCTTTTTCCTTCTCAATTCAATAGTTGTGCTCATGTACTTAATCACATACAATTATACATATAATCACATGTGATAAAATACATGAGAAAAACTATTGAATTGACAAATCAAAAATGAATTATGTCCACATAAATCATATGTGATTAGATTCATATAATCACATGTGATTATATGTATTTAATCACATATGATTAATTAGGATAAAGATTTTTTTTTTTTTTTTTTGCATTCTTGGTTCAATATTTGTTATCGTGTATATAATTACATGTGATTGTATGTATCTAATCATATATGATTTAAATAGACAAGATTTGTTTCTTCCATATAAAATCATATGTGATTAGAAACATATAATCACATATGATTAAATGTATATAATCACATATGATTAAAGTGGAAAAAAACAATTATTGAATCAAGAACGCAAAAAATAATCTTAGCCACATAAATCATATGTGATTAGATACATATAATCATATGTTATTAGAGTATTTTTTTTAACAATAACATAAAACAAGTAATACCTACATAATAGGAGAGTTAGTACTCACCTCCTTGATCTTGAAAACTAGCTAGCATGAGCAAAATGGATCATTTCCTTTCCGAGAACCTACACAAAAATTATAACATTATTTAGCTTGTATTTGTTGTATTAATCTTATAAAACTTATGTAAATATTTCCTTATTTTCCTTTTGATTGTAGTCCTCTGTTTGGGATATGTTTTCTTACCTTTCAATCCTTTATTACATTGTGATAAAATTATATTGGTAAATTTCCACCTTTTATCTTTTTAGAAATATAAAGATGTCATTCTAATGATTTTTTACTTATTTTATATTAAATTTACAAGTTGATAACTTTTAGCTGTCACTTTCTGGACCACTCAACACTCTTGGAATAAATTGTATCAATCTACTAAGAATGACATCAGTCCCTTTATATGTTGCAAACTATACATCTATATGTAACTCTATGATTTGGAATTTTGGCATTTGGGGTTTTGATTAATTTATCATGATTTTTTGAAGACAATGCATGGAATCTGTGACATCATAGACCAGCTTGAGAAGATTGCCAATTTTGCCCCTCAAGGAGTTGGAATTTCGAAATGTGATTCAAAGTTAGAAGAAAGTAGACACACTAAGATTTCCAAAAAACTAAGGCTCATAATTTTTAGATGTTCGTATTGACTTGCACGGATTTTAGAAGGTTGAGGATAGATTTGGGAAAAATGATCATAATATCTTCTAAATCATTTTTGGTGTTCTATTAAGGAATTAATGGTCAAGCCTTAAGTTTATCACTTTTAACATGATTTTTGGTTACTTATTAAACTATAGAGATGTGAAATTCAATTTAACCTAAAGGCCTTAATGTTTGGCTTAATGAGGGTTCAAAGTTAAGGATTTTCAAATAAAATGTCACTTTCATACTTATTACGGTTAAGTTGCCAACTTAACTCATTAAGCTCTATAAGTCACCTCTTTTGAGTCCTACATAGAGGCAAATTAAACAAAGATATCAAAATATGTTTGGGGAAACTAAGCAAGAATATAAAATCTATTTTATAATCTCAACAACCGAACATTCAAGTTGTTGAATATGTTTGGGGAAATAAATGCCAGTAAAAAAAAATAGAGGCAAATTAAACAGAGACATCAAAATGATGCTATTTCATCAAAAAAAAAAAAATAGTCAACAAAAACCTACAACCTGCAATAACAAATACACCACCTTGTTCTTGATTTATTTGTGGATGTTTTTTCATTGAGGCATTTCATCGAACACTTGGTGTTCATAAAAAATCTACTCAACAAGTAACCGCAAAACATAAGCAAGTTCATAAAATCCAGAAAGCTAGAGCAAAAAACTCATCAATTTGCAAAATGTATAACAATAACTCACAAAAATGGTTTTCATATCAAAACATCATAACAAAAAGGGGAATTTCATAAGCTAATAAATAAGAAAACATAACCTGATCAATTTTTTGGAGAGATGCACCTATAACAACATTATGAACAATAAACTTTCCTTTAGAGTTATCAGCAACACGACCTTTTTCTTTTTGATCAAGCAGCGACTTCATATCCTTATCAAGATTAAGCTTAGTTAAAACTACGTTTGTAAATAGACTTGAAGCTCCTTATCTTCACAAGTACTAAAATTCTAGATTGGAAGAAATATTTGTAAGGAGGAGTGGGAAAAATATAAAGGAAATCTCAATAAAATAAATTACAAACCTGATACCGACGATTATAGTTTGATGGGGGAGGTGGGGATGTCACTGAAACAAGATAAGGAAACAAATATGATAGCATTATACTTCAAATCCGGTCAGATCTTGTAACAGTTGAAATGAAATCGGGAATCACGATCTTGTGGCCGGTGAAATGAGATCTGGTGACGATTTAGAAAGAGGATAAGCGGAAAATGTGGTTTTTGATGGTAGGAGCGGAGGGAGATCACAACCAATCATATCCAGATATAATGAAAAGGCAGTCGCCTGGTGATTCTAGCGATGTTACGATGCTTCCGGGGTCGTTACATGGTTCCGACATTGTTATGAAAATTTTGGCGGTCGACGGACGATCTTGATGGTGGTCCAAATGTATCTTCAAGATAAGAGAGAGAGAGAGAGAGAGAGAGAGAGAGAGAGAGAGAGAGAGAGAGTAATATAGTGTGTGTGTGTGTGTGTGTGAGAAAGAGTGTGTGAGACGTTCACATACCCTATAAATAATGATTAATTAGTGGTCAATATTTGTTCTCACTTGTTCTCAAATTAGTAAATGTTCTCATTTGAACATAACTCTCTCTCTCTCTCTCTCTCTCTCTCTCTATATATATATATATATATATATATATAAAATTAAAAGTGAACATTATATGTTTTCAACTAGGTACTAGATGGGAAAAAAACTTGATTAAAGCTTACATATAATTAAAAGTGTCGATCCTATTAATTAAATTGCTAGCATAATAAGTTATTTGGACTCTTTTTATGTTAGGCCTTATGTTTAGCCCATTAACTAGGTTAACACTAGATATGTATTACACATTTTTCCATCTATAATGTAACCCTTAGTGTTTTCCATCAACAATGTAACTCTATCCGTTTTCTCTCTATATTATTATTAATTCCCTTTATATTGTTATTAATTCACATGGTATCAGAGTCGTTTATGTTTTTCCGATTTGTGTTTGTATTTCTTTTAGTTTGATTTGTTCGAATTTGTCGCTTTGAGAGTATAGTTGTTATCAGTTTGTCACTTTCTATTTGATTTGTTTGTTTTTTTGTCGATTTCACGCCGCGATATGTTGTATCGCGCCGCGAAAATACCTTTTCATCGATATTTTCGATGCAAAATTTGTGAATCATGTTGCGATCTTGGGTACGATTTTCTAATCTGTTTATGTATTTCATTGTTTTATTTGTTTGATTTTGTCATCTTTTAGGGTTTCGATTATTGTTGGTATTCGTATTTCGCGTTGTGTTTTGTTGTGTTAACATAATAAGTTATTTTGGCTCTTTTTGTATTAAGCCTTATGTTTAGCCCATTAGTTAGGTTAAGCCTAGATAACTTTTCTATTTAGTCTTATTTGCCTTTCTTTGTATTTCACATATTTCCATCTACAATGTAACTCTAGCCGTTTTTCCACAACAATGTAATCTTAGTTGTTGTCTCTCTATATTATTATTAGTTCTCTTTATATTGTTATTAATCAATGTTTTAAAAACCGGTTTTTTAGTTGGACCGGTATGATAACTGGTTTCCGGTTCGACCGCTGAGTAAAACGGTTTCTATAATTTTCATTTTTTTTTGTATTTTCCGACACATACATACATACACAAATCAAGAATTTGATGTCCATGTCCACAGGTTCAAACATTAAAATACACATGAAAACAAGTTATAGATCAATCTAATTACATTAAAATAACTAATAACCATAAGTTTTACATCAATCCACGTGCATTAAAAAGAAAATCAAGTCCTAGATGAACATTAACACTTCAAAAAAACTTCTTAACATTTATCATGTGCTTTTATTCAGAAAAAATTTAATAAATGTGAAAAAACTACCAAAGTTTATTATGCAAAAGGTTTCAATTCCATGTGTTTTTATTCAATTTAATGGGTTCAACAGGTTTAAATGAACCGGTTCAACCAAATTTTTGTAAAAATTGACCGGTTCGATCCGTTTCAGATATAGACATAAAACAGTTGATAGTTGAACCGCTTCCTTCTCCGATTTCCGATCCAACCGGCCGGTTCAAACCGGTTTTTAGAACATTGTTATTAATTCACATAAACAACCCAACCTCTTGGTTTTGAGCTATGTAATACGAAATATGAAGCAAGCAACTCATGTACTATGTAATACCAACCTCACAAAAAGCATCATTATTACAAGAGATAGAGACACGAAAATAAGACAAATGTATAAGTTATAATTCAAACATGGTAGGCCTACTATATGAATATAACACTAAGGACAAGGAGCTTAGATAAATATGACACAAGAGAAAAGCACCAAGATGATACAAACAAAGTAGGCCGGCTTTAAAAATATAAAAGGAGTTGGGCACTACAAACTTGAGGTTCAAGAACTTACCTATAAAAACTACCGTAGATAGTAATGTGTACAGATAAAAAAAAATAGAGATGAGAAAGCCACATGCTATACTTGTACCTTATCCAGCACAAGGTCATGTAATCCCCATGATGGAGCTTATGCAACGATTAGTAAAACATGGTGTCAAAGTTACATTTGTTAACACGAATTTCACTCACAAATTGGTTACAGATGCGTTCTCTGAAGATGAGAAGTTGAATGATTTAGCAAGTCTTGTGTCACTACCAGATGGATTGGAAACAGGAGAGGATAGAAACGATTTTGGTAAGCTACCAGATGCAATCTTTCGAGTCATGCCTGAAAAGCTTGAAGAGATGATCAAAGAACTTAATGCAAAAGGAGATGATTTTGAGAAAGTTACATGTATTGTTGCTGATATTTGTATGGGTTGGGTGTTTGAAGTCGCTAAGAAGATGAAAATAAGAAAAGCAGCCTTCTGGCCTGCAGCAGCTATAAGCTTGGCCTCTCTATTTTGCATCCCTAAGTTGCTTGAAGATGGAATCATAGATAACAAGGGTTAGCTTCATTTAGCCTAATATGTTTCCATATCGATACATAACACTACATGCTTTTTATGCTTAAAAGCCATGATATATATTATATGTATACATAAATTCAAGAAATGATATGAAGTGAAATTTCAATTGCAGGGACTCCCATGAAGAAGCAAATGGTTCAACTATCACCAACCATGCCTGCTATAAGCTCTTTAGAGTTTACATGGCTGGGAATTGGCGACTTAAAGACACAAGAAATACTTTTTAATTTGATGGTAAAAGCCAGTGAGTTTGTGACACTGGCAGACTTCACAATCTGCAATTCAACTTATGAATTGGAGAAAGGAACATTTACTTCATATCCTGAGATCTTGCCAGTAGGTCCACTACTGGCAAGCAACAGAGTGGCCAATCAGATTGGCCACTTTTGGAAAGAGGACTCAACGTGTCTGGCATGGCTTGACCAACAGCCAGCACGTTCAGTCATCTATGTTGCATTTGGAAGCTTCACGCTTTTTGACCGTACCCAATTTGATGAGCTGGCACATGGACTTGAAATGACCAATATGCCCTTCCTGTGGGTTGTGCGGTCTGACATGGTTAAAGATACGCAAAATGACGGATTCGATGATAGAGTAAAGAGTCGTGGAAGAATAGTGGGGTGGGCCCCACAGCAGAAGGTTTTGAAGCATCCTTCTGTTGGTTGCTTTGTGAGCCATTGTGGTTGGAACTCTGTGTTGGAAGGTGTTAGTTGCGGTTTACCATTTATGTGTTGGCCTTACTTTTCTGATCAGTTTGCCAATCGGATGTACATTTCTGATGTTTGGAAGACTGGATTGGTGTTTGATAAAGATGAAAGTGGTATTGTTTCAAGAGAAGAAATCAAGAATAAGATCGAGCAGCTACTAGGAAATGATGAATTCAAGGTTAGGGCGATTGATCTTAAAGAAAAGGTTGCAGTTGCTGTAAGCAAAGGTGGTCACTCTGATAAGAACTTCAGCAACTTCATTGACTGGATACAGGAAAAAGACACTTAGTCTGTGGGAGGTTTAGAGAATTAATGGTCATTTTGCATTCGTTTAGTGCCAGTTAGAAATATATATAGTTATTTATAGTAAAGGGTTTTGGAGTATTAAAAGTTGTTTTATCTTTCTTCTCTATAATGGCTTGTGTATGTGTGAGTCTTTAACCTCGCTATGAACATACAAGAATTCCTTCCAGAATTCTGGCATCTATCTCATGGACTAAAAGTGTTATGAAGTAGTAAAACGGGGAGAAAAAATGAATGAAAAAAAAACTATTTCTTTTTGGACATTATCCAAATTAGAACAAGGACCAAAAGTTAAATTTACTCAAAAATCTATATCAGCTTCGATGCTTCCAAAGAAATTTTATATGATAGTGGTCGTAGTTTTTGTCAGCTTCAATGTTCGCAAAATGTTTACAGGCCTTGCATTATCTACAAACCAGATTAATTTATAGAACTTAACAAATGATTAATTTATAGACGCCTACATATTATATGATTGTGTATAGACGTGAGAAGCGAACACACTTCCAAAATTCCTTTTCAACTTTGTTCCTAAAAATAAGGTTGTTTCAAATTAACTTGTAAAAAGGGGTTCTAGCCCCACTTCATCCATACACGTGTATGGAGTTGTAAATATTCCATAAAGGGTTCTTTAGTTTTATGTCATTACCATTCTTAATTATATATTTTTCTTCTATGTTTGATTATTTTCTATTTCTATTTTCTACCTTCATCAATCTTATAAATAATATTTTTTTATTATAAATATGTTATTGAATTTTATACATAGACCTTAATAATTTTTATCACTTAAGCATTTTCTTGCAACTCCAGTTAATGCCAATGTTAAATATTATTAAAATTATATATATTAAAATACTATATGGATATTATTAGAAGTAGACAGAATAAATAAATAAACGAATTTTATATAGAAATTGTCCGATCAATAATGATGTGTGTAAAAGCAATTTCAAAAGGATTGAATAATCCAAAAATGTCACCGAACATTTGATTCTCTTCACTTTTTTATCCTATAAAATCGGGTTATCGAATTGAGTTTTTCTCATCAATCCTTCAAATTCTTCTCTCGTCGTATATGCATCCTCACTTCCATACTTCTCTCATCTTTGTATTATTAGGTTTTTTTTTCTATCTCAAACATAAGTGTGTATTTATTTCTATATAAATTGCACATATAAATTAATGATGTGAACATTAAATTTAAGATATTAATTTGTGTCATTTGTTTCTATGGCACTAACCTATCCCTTTACACTACTAGAAAACTAAGTAATTACCTACAACATAATTGGTAGTAAATCTGTAGGAAAAAGGCGTTACCTACAGATTTCCTACAAAAAACGGGTTGTAGGGAAAACCCTCGTGGGTAATTTTTTCCTACAAATTAGCTACGAACATTCCTACGCATTTCCTACGGAATATTCTGTTACAAATTTAACTACGGAATACCTACGGAACACGTTAACTACGGAGTACTTACAGATTACCTACGAGTTATTTAGCTACGGAACTCCTACAAAATACATACGGATTATTTTCCTACGGATTACCTACGAAATAATTTTCCTACAGAATACCTACCAACTACTTTACCTACGGATTACCTACAAAATGATTTTACTACAGAATACCTACGGATTATTTTCCTACGGATTACCTACAAACTGATTTTCCTACCGAATACTTACCTATGGATTACCTACAAACTGATTTTCCTACAGAATACCTACTAACTAGTTTACCTACGGATTACCTACAGAATACCTACAGATTTTATTGGATTTTATTTCCTACTGAATATTTATTTTCTACAGATTTTCTATGAGCTTTTTACCAGTTTTTATTGCTATATTAAATTTATAATTCCTACAGAATTATAATTTAAAAAATATCCAAATTTTCTGCTAAAAAAAACCAAATAAATAATTAAAATAATAGTCAAATACCATTACATTCATTACCATTAAAATAGTCACTAATATAGTAATATGCCATTCATACATTCAAATACTCAAAATACCATTACAATACCATTACAAAAACTAAGAACTAGTCAATAACATAACATTAATTTAGTGTTCTAAAAGAAAAACTAAGAACTACTTGGTGGATTATCGGAAGGATTAATTTGTTTCATAAAGGCCGCCAATTGTCGTTGCACTTGCAATTCCATTTCATTTCGCATTTGTTGCATTTGCAAATTCATTTCACTTTGCTTTTCTTCCATGGCTTGTTCCATGTTTGACATTTTTTATCGCAACTCATTTACCTAAATATAGCAAGACAAACACATGCAGTTAGTAAATGTAATTAAACTTTAAACCATGATAGCAATGTACTTTACTTACAATTCAATATAAAAACACACTATTGCTAATAAAAATGTACATTGTTTTTAACATCCATAATAATAACTTTTTATATACATAATAATAACATACTATATTTTTATCCATTATACCATTGTACTTTACATTTCCAATCCATAATATCAATATATTTAAATTATTATCAATAACAACAATTTACTTTACCAAATATCAATAATAGCAACATACTATAATTTTCACCCATTATAGCATTATGTTTTACCTAATTTAATGATAGCAAAAAAGTATCATTTTTAACCATAATAACAATGCACTTTACCTAATATTAATAATGACAACATATTTTAATTTTCACCCGTAACAACAATGTACCTTACCAATATGAACATCTATTTTTCATCCATATTAAGTACCTCTTTACTTGATTATTTTCTCTATAATATATTATGTAAATAATAGTACCTCCTGTTGTGACTTTGCAAAGTCAGCAGAAGCTGAAGTTGACTCAAAAGAATATACAACTTATTAATACTTTGATTGCTTTGTTTTAACCAATTTATACATAACATAAACTTACAAACAAACGTATGCATCATTAGAAAAACTAAATATGAATTTAGATAGCTTTTTTGTTTGTTCTGCATATAGTAATCGTTTCTAACTAGGCATACGTTTGTATGTATGTTTGTGTTATGCATAAATCCATCAAAACAAAGCAATCAAAGTATAATTAAGTTGTGAAAAAAAAAACGAAAAAAACGACATTTGATACTTTAAAAATAGAAAAATAAAAAAAGACCGTAGGTAATCTGTAGGTAAATACCTACGGATTGCCTACAGAATAGGGTAATCTGTAGGTAATCCGTAGGTATTTACCTACAGATTACCTACGGTATTTTTTTATTTTTCAAATTTCAAAGGTCAAATATCGTTTTTTTCGTTTCGTTTTTTTCACAACTTATTAATACTTTGATTGCTTTGTTTTAACCAATTTATACATAACATAAACTTACAAACAAACGTATGCATCATTAGAAAAACTAAATATGAATTTAGATAGCTTTTTTGTTTGTTCTGCATATAGTAATCGTTTCTAACTAGGCATACGTTTGTATGTATGTTTGTGTTATGTATAAATCCGTCAAAACAAAGCAATCAAAGTATAATTAAGTTGTGAAAAAAAAAAAACGAAAAAAACGACATTTGATACTTTAAAAATAGAAAAATAAAAAAAGACCGTAGGTAATCTGTAGGTAAATACCTACGGATTGCCTACAGAATAGTGTAATCTGTAGGTAATCCGTAGGTATTTACCTACAGATTACCTACGGTATTTTTTTTATTTTTCAAATTTCAAAGGTCAAATATCGTTTTTTTTGTTTCATTTTTTTCACAACTTATTAATACTTTGATTATTTTGTTTTAACCAATTTATACATAACATAAACTTACAGACAAACGTATGCATCATTAGAAACCATTACTATATACAAAATAAACAAAAAACTATCTATATTTGTCTTTAAGCCACAATTAACATCATTAAACAAATACATGGTATACTAAACATAATACATACATATGGTGTGTATGTAAATGCGTGTATTTATTTCTATTTATGTTTATAAAATAACTTTGATTTAAAAAAAAAAAAAAAAAAAAACTTCTAAATGAGTAATGGTTTCTAACGAGGCATACATTTGTATGTAAATTTATGTTATGTATAAATCGGTCAAAAACAAAGCAATCAAAGTATAATTAAGTTGTTAAAAAAATAAAACGGAAAAAATGACATTTGATCCTTGAAAAATAGAAAAATAAAAAAAGATTGTAGGTAATCTGTAGGTATTTTGTAGTCAATCTCTTCCGTCAATAGTTCGTAGCTAATCTGTAGCGAATTACCTACAGAATATCTACGGATTTAGTTCTGTCGTTTTTCCGTAGCAATTGTGTAGCTAATTACTAACGGAATACCTACGGATTCTCGTCTGTAACTATTCCGTAGGTATTTTGTAGCGATTCCGTTACTCAATTAGGATTTCTCATTCCGTAGGTATTATGTAGGTAATTACCTACAGAAATTTTACGTAGCTATTTTTCTATGGCCAAACCTTTTATTTTCTAGTAGTGTTATAATCATTTTATATTGGGATGGTGATCTATCAACTTTGTTTGCTTCAGATATTCTTATGCACAAAATACGATATGAACAATTTAAAGATTTGATTTATACACATGTTAGAGTTGAAAATTTTGCTATAAGTTGAAAATACAATAGAATCGCGTTCCCATCATCGTATCGTACAATTAATTGGATCTTCACAATGTCGTACCAAAGAGCGTTTCGGCCACCATCGGGATCAATTCTGTACCACGTTTGGGTATGGAACGTTCAAAATGTGGCACACGACCTTTTGAGTGAATCCTTTAACTATGATCTAAATGGCTATTTGGAGCCTGATGTTTTATAGAATGGAAGCATAAATACAAAATATAATCCTTGGTACTAATATTAGCTTAGCTAATGGAGCTTAAGTGGTACTAATTTCACTAAATACAAGACAAAGAGACACGGAAATAAGAGAAATGTATGATACAAACAAAGATGGCCTGCTATATGAACCATACACTCTGACCCTAATACAAACTTGAGCTTAGATAAAAATGACACAATATAAAAGTTAAAATATGATAAAAAAGATTAGGCCAACTGTAAGAATCTAAAAGAAGTAGGCGGGACAAACTTAATCTATAAGAGCTTACCTATAAAAAAAATACGGTAGGCATTAATATGCTGTCAACATTGTAACAAAATTTGATGTATATGGCTCTAATCGACCTAATTAGAACTTTAATGACTAAAGAAGCAAATTTCAAACTGTTTGTTGCTTATATATATGTCGTTAAAAAAATTAAAACGCCATATAGATGGTTTGTTGCCAATATATGTCATTAACCCATATAGAATAACTTAAGAAATTAAAGAAATGATTCATAGTGACTTTCTAAATGAAAGGAACCACCATGAGGAAACAGATACTTCAGCTATCATCTTAAGGTCAAGGCTATTGATCTTAAAGTGAAGGGTGCAATTTAATCTTTAAGACTACACTAAGAATTATGGACTTACAAATCAACATACCATAAACTGAAGAATCCATTCAATGACTTATCTAATACACTTTGTTTAGTGTTTACTATTTTACATCTTAATAAATAAAACACCAATATTATTAGAGTGATATTAATTATCTGTATCCTGTATCCAGTCAACGAAGTTGCTGAAATTCTTATCTGAGTGACTAACTTCGGTTAAAGCAACTGCAACCTTTTCTTTAAGATCAATAGCCCTGACCTTAAATTCATTGTTTTCTAATAGCTGTTCAATTTTATTCTTGATTTCTTCACTTGAAACAATACCACTTTCATCTTTTTAAACTCCAATCCAGTTTTCCAAACATCAGAAATGTACATCTGATTAATAAACTGATCGGAAAAGTAAGGCCAACACAAGAAGGGTAACCCACTGGTGACACCTTCCAACACAGAATTCCAACCACAATGACTCACAAAGCAACCCACAGAAGGATGATTCAAAACCTTCTGCTGTGGGGCCCACCCCACTATCTTCCCACGTTCGCTTACTCTATCATCAAATCCATCATTCTTCATATCTTCAAACATGTCAGGACGTACAACCCACAGGAAGGGCATATTCGTCGTTTCAAGTCCACCTGCCAGCTCATCAAACTGTCTAGAATCAAAAACTGTGAAACTACCAAATGCGACATAGATGACTGACCCTATTGGATGTTGATCAAGCCATGTCAGACACGTGGAGTCCTCTTTCCAAAAATGGCCAATCTGTTTGGCTACTCGATTGCTTGCTAACAATGGGCCAATTGGTAAAATATCAGGAAATGAAGTGAACGTTGAAGTCTCGAGTTCATAAGCTGAATTGCAAATTACACAATCTGCAAGCTTCACAAACTCATTGGTTTTTATTGCGAAATGAAAAGCAGTTTCTTGCGTCTTCATGTCACCAATGCGGGCCCACATAAAGTTTTCAGAATTTATAGCGGGCATTGTCGGTGATAATTGAACCATTTGTTTCTTCATGAGAATCCCTACATTTAAAGGTTTGAGAAACAACTAACTTTATCTAATGACATGAAAACTTAACACTATATATATATATATATATATATATATATATATATATATATATATATATATATATATATATATATATATATATATATATATATATATATATATTATATATATATATATATATATATATATATTATATATATATTATATTAATTTAATAATTGAATCTAGCTAACCTTTATTGTCTATGATTCCATCTTCAAGAAACTTTGGGATGCTCCATAGCAAAGCTAATCCTGCAGCGGATGCAGTCCAAAAAGCTGCACTTCTGATTCTCATCTTGTCTGCAACTTCAAAGGCCCAACCCATACACGTGTCAGCAACAATGCATGTAACTTTCTCTCCCTCATTTATGTTAAGTTTGTTAATGAGCTCTTCAAGTTTTGAAGGCATGAGTTGAAAGATTGCTTCTGCTAATTTACAAACATCCTTTCTGTCCTCTTCTGCTTCCACACCATCTGGGAGTGACACAAAGCTTGCTAAATCATTCAAGTTTTCATCTGTGGAGAACGCATCTGTAACCAATTTATGAGTGAAATCTGTATTAAGAAATGTGACTTTTACACCATGGTTGACTAATCGTTGCATAAGCTCCATCATGGGGATTACATGACCTTGTGCTGCATAAGGTATAAGTAGTGCATGTGGCTTTCCCATCTCTATTTTTTCATCTGTTTATGTTAGTATCTAGTGAGCTTTTATAGCTAAGCTCTTGAAGCTCGAGTTTGTTTAAGACTTCTAGTGCCTAAGTGTTAGATTTATTTACATAGCAGGCCTACTTTGTTTGTATCATCTTTGTGTTTTTATCATTTGTCTTATTTTCTTGTCTCTATATCTTTATTGCTACTCTTTCCTTGAGGGTAGTACTTAGTACTACATATGGCCAATTGCTTCATATGTTATAACTAGTCTTCTTTTTTGTCTTTTTGGAGTGCAAGTTGTGTCTACACTCTTGGATTTTAGCTAATTAATATCACCACCAAGGTTAGTATATATGTATTCTGAATGTGCTCTTCCATTGTATAAATCGTTTTTAGTTACCTATGCTTTAGGTCTCGTACAAAACCAATGTTACCAGAAAAATTACCCATGACGTCCTTGCTTATGAATGTGGCTCACTTGTGGAAGTGATTACTTTTTTGGGGGATAATCATGTTATGACTTATGACTTACCCCATCATTCGATGAGACGACCACTACAAGGAAAACGATCATTAGTGGCGACAAAAGTCGTCGGTAATAACTCAAGTTGTTGTCGGTAATAGTAATAGCAGCGACGCGTCGCTGGTAATAAGTCGCCGCTACTAGTTTGTCATCAACTTGTCGTCGATAATGATAGATGTAGCCGCTAATAACCATGTCGCCGCTAATAACTCTGTCGCCGGTAATAGTGTCGCCGATAATAACACTTTTCAATTTTTTTTTTAATTAATGATTTTGGTTGCCGGTAATAATGTCATTGGTAATTACATAACATTCAATTAAATATCAAAAATAATAGTGTCGACGCTAATTACAAAACAAACATCCGATTATAATTAATTAAATATCAAAAGTCATAATATATGATTAAATATAAAAAGTAATAATGTTGCCCGGTATTAGTGTTGCCGGTAATTACAAAAAACAATCAAAGTTTTACAATCTACCAAGTAGCAAATCGTAACAATATATGCAAATAAAACTCATCCTAGCCTACATATCATCATCTTCGTTCCCATCGTTTCCTCAATTATTTCGGGATTGAAAAACGAATACAGTTCATCCCTACATGTCGGGTCGTTAACCATTTTACGATGCTAAAGTAGATTGCTATTTTTAAACTAAGACAAAAAACTAAAGTACGTTGTTATTTTTGCATTTGGGACAAAAACCTAATTACCAAAGTTTTTAGCAAATAATCACCACAAAACCAAAATTACCAAATCAACATGCATTTTACAATGCTAAAGTAGATTGCTATTTTTAAACTAGGACAAAAAACAAAAGTATGTTGCTATTTTTTGCACTTGGGACAAAAACCTAATTACCAAACGTTTAGCAAATAATCACCACAAAACCAAAATTATCAAATCAACATGCATTTTACGATGCTAAAGTAGATTGCTATTTTTAAACTAAGACAAAAAACCATAATATGTTGTTATTTTTTGCACTTGGGACAAAAACCTAATTACCAAAGTGTGTAGCAAATAATCACCACAAAACCAAAATTACCAAATCAACATGCATTTTACGATGCTAAAGTAGATTGCTATTTTTAAACTAAGACAAAAAACCAAAGTACATTGTCATTTTTTTGCACTTGGGACAAAAACCTAATTACCAAACTTTTTAGCAAATAATCACCACAAAACCAAAGTAGATTGTTTTACCTATGATGGTTGTGGTGATGGTTACGAAGGCTGTGGAATCGGCGGGAGGGCAAAAGGTTTACGGCCAATGTCTCTAATATAGTCATGTCGCTCTCCTAGTACTTTCTCAAATGCAACTCTTTCTTGAGCGGGTGTTAATTCACTTTCACCTTGAGTTTCTTCTAACAGCTCTTCAACTAACCGATTCTGTAACTCCCGAAAGTGAGTAACAATTAAGTATAAATAAAAATTTAATTATATGATCAAATTATAAGTAAATACTTACATATTGTTGTTCCGCCTCAGTAGTAACAAATACACCATTCGTATCGGTATGAGCTTTGCGAAATGTTTCCACTCTCTTAAGGTTCGGTTTAACTTTAAAAATTAGATTATATTTGAAATAAATAATTACATGTATCGTACGTTACCTTCTTATAGCAATACTGCTATACGAGTTCGACCCCCCCCCCCCTACACGATTCATATTTGTTTGCATTTCAAGGATTTTTTTGTTCCTTTCTGAAGCAATTTTGTGTTCGTTTGTTTGGAAATATTCAACTGCTTTCTTCCAGTTATTAACTTCCATACCCTTTGGAGGGTTGGCTAATGCTCCTGGGATATCTTCATACCCTCTAACTGACATAAAATATTCTTTTGCATCAGCTTTACGTTCTCGATAACCTTTTAACAAAACTGATTGAAAACTCTCTGTCAACATATTAGCTTGTACATCCCGGTACATCTAATCCAAATCAAACTTTTTCTACAAAAAAAAAGTTAACAAAGTAAAAAACAATTATAATTAACCATATAAAATATATTTAAATAAATAATTACTGCTAAATGTTGTAATACGACGTCCAGTATTGCATGGGAAACTTTTTTCCAAGTCCATTTATCAAAAGGGACCATGTGCCACAATGTTTTTCCAACTTCTTGGGAAAACATGTCTTTCGGCTCTCTTATGGGATCAAATGTGATATCTCTATCATATTCCATGCTAATCGGCTTGCCCTGGTTCCGTAAGATCACTTTTTCAAGCTTTATATTTTTCGCTTTGCCTCAAACTTTCCTTCGTGCACGTTGCTCAACTACAAATGTAATTAAAAATTATTATTAACTGTATTTAATTTATAATAACTAAACAAAAATAGTAAATAAAAATTCATAATAAGACTTACCGTCCTGCTCGTGATGACCAACACCTCTACCACCTGGGAGAGGTGGGTCCTCAGCTCCATCACCCACATGTCCATGACCCATAACAGAAGCCATGGTATACATAAACCAAAAGTTATATTGTCGATCATTTCCTGAAAAATATAAGATATACAAATACCATTTTTATTCTAAATACATATTACACAGAAATAAACATTTACATAGGAATAACCATTTCTATTTAAACTAGAAATCCAAATAAAGTTCATATTACAAACACATATTACATAAGAACTATTCTAATTAGAATCTTCATCGTATCCTTCGGTGTCTAAATTTATATAGGCAAAAGTTGTAAGTATTAAACAAAAGGGTCAAAGATCCAACAAATCAATTTTTTCCATGCGTTTTTTTATTTATACTAGATGTACAAATATACCCATGATTATTGAAAAAAAAATTCTTTGTTTCTTTTAATATGTTTATCAATTAGTTTTTAATGAATAAATATTAAATAAAGAAAAATTAATAAATTGATATATCCATAAAAAAAACATTTTTACTGTTATAGAGTTTTATTTTTTTTTTTATTTATAACATTTTTTTTCAATTATACGATACTTTAAACAATTATATTATGTTTTTGTGTTGTTCTTTTTTACCGCCGATATATATATATATATATATATATATATATATATATATATATATATATATATATATATATATATATATATATATATATATATATATATATATATTATTTATAAGATTGTATAAATATGTTACAAATAAAGAATTTAAAAACTAAAAAACACATGAAAATATAAATATGAAACTATAGAAATATAGCATTATAAGTTAATTTAAAGATTATAAATTGACTATAAAACTTATTGGTTAATTTGGGGTTAGCTTGGGAAGAAACTAGAAACTTTCTAGTATTTGTATATACGTTTTTAAACAATTTTATAACATTTTTTTTGTGTGTTTTTTTCCTAATTATAACAATAATTTTTTTTTCAATTATAGCATCCTACTTATACCAAAACCATATACTTTTACATGATACATAAGAACATGCAATTAACATACTTTCACATATATATACCACATATACACCAAATACAAATACATTCACATACACACAAAATAACATCTTACTTAAACCAAATACACATAATTTCAAATATATAGATAATAATATCCTATTTATACCAAATACACAAATTTCACATTCATATATCATATTTACAACAAACATACATGCATTCACATACACACACAATAACATCCTACTTATAGCAAACACATATAAATTCACACTTACACACACACTCACACTCACACACACACACACACACACACACACACACACATATATATATATATATATATATATAT